GATCGCGAAATAGGATGGTTTGGAATCGTGGTTGTTCGATCGTCCAATCGCCAGCAGTATCGTTGGGTCACGTTACCGTTGAGGTCAGATTGGTCCCTTCAGCAACCTCGCCCATTCTCCTTAGGTACGTACACAGGGGACTCTCGAGTGATAGCGGCTGCTTATGCATGGTAGCACGCCACGCTATGGCCACGCCACGCGAGAATCGTGAGGTAAACACGGACACGGAGTCGAAGAAGATACAAGCTGATCGGTGACCAGGAAGTCGCGCGGGAAGTCGCGCCGGTGCCAAGTTACCCGCGTCACGAACACCTTAAAAAGATTTCCGCGCCTTTCGATATCAATAGTAACACCGTTTTATTATCCCTCTATTATCGTTCATCTTATTATGTATAGCATTGAGTAACACCATCGCCCCGTGAACGGTGGCGTGATTCAGAAAAGCATCGCGGCGGTATGTATTACAGTAGCGAGGCGGTGTAACGTCGAAGGGTAGAGAGGGTCCCGTAGGATTTTCGCACGTTCGCCACGAGGTCTATTCAAGCGAGAAGCCTCGAAGCTCGGTTGCAACTCGCGAGCGTCTCGTACCACGAGGAAGAGATTACGGGGCACCGTTCCGTGCTTTCTCTCGCGCGCCGTCTCAATCCCGCGGCATTGTTCGTCCGCATCTCCTCCTCTTCCTCCTCTTTCTTCTTCCTCTTCCTCCACGAACAGATCTTCCCACGCACGTGCCTCGTACGAGGCCCGCTGAATAATTACCAGATGAAGATACTGCCGCCTCGTGTAGGCTGAAATCTCGTCTCCCCTCTCCTTCCACCTTTTCCCGTCTATCTCTCCCTGGCGAAGAAGGATTTTGCAACGGTACCCTGGCTCCTCGTCGACGTCGACGGCGACGCAACGTTCCGTACCCTACCGGATGATCGTCCCACGGAGCTCGACCCTCGCTGAACTATAACCGTCTCCCGTCAAAACCAGTCGATCACAGTTACGTGCATATGCCGGGATTATCTCCGGACCGTTTCATTCATACGGTCCACGCTTATCGTCTCGATATCGTCGGATAGCAAAGGGAGAATTTGATCGGAGATACGGGTGATCGGTGGGTAATTGGAGTGCTAAAGTATTGTCGGTACGTGACTTTGAAAAGATAGTCCAGGATCTAGCACAGGGGTTCCCAAAGGGCGGGTCAAGTTGTAAATTCCAAAATATTTATCGGGCTAAGAAAAGTGTTATGGAAAAATGGAAATCATAAGGGCAACATGTATACTAAATTCTTTCGGATACACAAATGCTTCTAATAATGAAAACATTTGTTGAGTATGTTAGCGCAATTTTGGAAGATCCCGTGAATGAAAATCAATTAAGGAATTGTTACGATAAGATCGCGGATGATCTGACATCACAGACCGCACTTTGGAAATCCTTAATCTACCAAATTAGATGAATTGCTAATAAGAGTTCGTATGTTTTTTAAGTACACAGTAGATGATTTGATAATTGAATTGAAACTTAAATTTCTTCTGATTAATTATTTGCGTGAGTTGTAAAAATTTATTAAAGGGAAACTTGACGTTGAAGAAGAGAAAGTAGAAGCATGAAGATTTCGAAGTAACGTCGGTAGCCAACGAAAGAGAAATCGCGACGGGTTGGCTAGCTACGGCTTCTTCTTTTCTCGAGGCATTGTTTCTAATTAACGTCAACGGTGCTAATTGTCCAGCTGTCGCGTCGAGAGACCTTAGAAGAGATTCCTGCATGCGGGTTGAGCAGCTTCAGGCCTACCGTTCACCGGAATTCTTTTACGCTCGATGCAATAAGTGCTTCCACGAAAAAGTCGGGTGTCATCGAAAGTGAATTCTTTACGTTCCTCGTGTTCCCTCTTCTTCACCAATTATCCCGTTTAAAATCTCGTGATACTACTAAGTATACCACCCATATACTGACATACACGAGTGACCTGTAATTCTGTCGAAGACTAATCTCATAAAACTCTGATCATCGACGCCTTGAAAATTCTTAGTCTAAATAGGAAGGAAAAGAAAAAAGGAGAGAGAAGATAGAGATAGTAAGAGAAACAGGGGACGAAAGAAAGGACATAGAGTCATAAATATAGATAGACAGCTCGGCCTGCTGAGAAACCCAGCTGCTACATCCGGCTGGCGATAGATCGGAAATCAAAGAAAAGAAACAAAGGAACTAAAGAAGAGAAAGCAATCTTACAATAACAAGAAATTAAACTAAAATTCTAAGAAAGGGATGGCACACACAAGTTACCACAGGGTAATCGAAGCGTATTTGTTAGTGTGTTTCGAGTCCTCTATAATAAGATTTAGCGATGACGCGTTGGTAGGAATTAACGTCACGCGAAATAGAGTCGAGTTAGAGAGGTGTCTAAAGGGATGAGGATCGCGGCGACGCGAAATTCCACGCGTCACCGGTGACAAAGTGGTATGTTCACCTTTTTGCGTTCGCCTCCCGTCGAAGAAGCGTCCCGTCCCGGATGATCGACACGACTCGTGCGCCGATCGAATCAGAAGTCCTTGATCCGTGGGCGATGCAAAATGCTCCTCTACACCCGGAAGAAGGTGCGGTAGGTCGGCGTTCCCAGCTCGTCTCTGCTCGACCAACCCTGCTTTTAAAGATCTCTGCGAAAAGAATTTTTCAAACCATTTTTAATCCTATTCTCCTTATCATATTTTTCTTTCAAATTGATGGTGGAGGCACAAGCACAGTATCGAATTGTGAGTAGAAATAAAAGGCGAAGCTTGTTTATCACGGGGTACACAGAAGCGGAACGCAGCGGGGGATAGATACGCGCGTTTAAAAAGAACGAGGGCCGGGTCGTTATCTCGGTCGTAACCGTTCGGTACCTCGGTAATTTTACTCATCGATGATCGAAACGAACGGAACGGGTTGAACCAGAAACGGAGCCTGGTCTGGTGGGCGGTGTTAACGACCGGCTGTACAAACCAGGAAGATGTGGTAGGTCAGGAATATGCGGGTCCCTCGATCCACGAAATTACGACGTACTCGCTCGTGAACGGGACCTATTTTCTTTCACTCGTCTGACCGACTTTAATCAACAACCGCATCATTACCATTCTTCGTCACAAGAGTGTCGCACGGAACTCGAGCGCAATTGCACGCTGAATTAAATTCCGTATTAAAAGCACTAATTTATTGTTCGAATCTGGTGCAATTTTTTAAAACACTTTCTATTTTATTTATACTATTTTAACTCCGAAATTCAAATATGTTAGATAAGCAGTTCCCTTTACGCTCTTGGGAACGCAGATGTGCTTGAGTAACACCATCGCCCCGTGAACGGTGGCGTGATTCAGAAAAGCATCGCGGCGGTATGTATTACAGTAGCGAGGCGGTGTAACGTCGAAGGGTAGAGAGGGTCCCGTAGGATTTTCGCACGTTCGCCACGAGGTCTATTCAAGCGAGAAGCCTCGAAGCTCGGTTGCAACTCGCGAGCGTCTCGTACCACGAGGAAGAGATTACGGGGCACCGTTCCGTGCTTTCTCTCGCGCGCCGTCTCAATCCCGCGGCATTGTTCGTCCGCATCTCCTCCTCTTCCTCCTCTTTCTTCTTCCTCTTCCTCCACGAACAGATCTTCCCACGCACGTGCCTCGTACGAGGCCCGCTGAATAATTACCAGATGAAGATACTGCCGCCTCGTGTAGGCTGAAATCTCGTCTCCCCTCTCCTTCCACCTTTTCCCGTCTATCTCTCCCTGGCGAAGAAGGATTTTGCAACGGTACCCTGGCTCCTCGTCGACGTCGACGGCGACGCAACGTTCCGTACCCTACCGGATGATCGTCCCACGGAGCTCGACCCTCGCTGAACTATAACCGTCTCCCGTCAAAACCAGTCGATCACAGTTACGTGCATATGCCGGGATTATCTCCGGACCGTTTCATTCATACGGTCCACGCTTATCGTCTCGATATCGTCGGATAGCAAAGGGAGAATTTGATCGGAGATACGGGTGATCGGTGGGTAATTGGAGTGCTAAAGTATTGTCGGTACGTGACTTTGAAAAGATAGTCCAGGATCTAGCACAGGGGTTCCCAAAGGGCGGGTCAAGTTGTAAATTCCAAAATATTTATCGGGCTAAGAAAAGTGTTATGGAAAAATGGAAATCATAAGGGCAACATGTATACTAAATTCTTTCGGATACACAAATGCTTCTAATAATGAAAACATTTGTTGAGTATGTTAGCGCAATTTTGGAAGATCCCGTGAATGAAAATCAATTAAGGAATTGTTACGATAAGATCGCGGATGATCTGACATCACAGACCGCACTTTGGAAATCCTTAATCTACCAAATTAGATGAATTGCTAATAAGAGTTCGTATGTTTTTTAAGTACACAGTAGATGATTTGATAATTGAATTGAAACTTAAATTTCTTCTGATTAATTATTTGCGTGAGTTGTAAAAATTTATTAAAGGGAAACTTGACGTTGAAGAAGAGAAAGTAGAAGCATGAAGATTTCGAAGTAACGTCGGTAGCCAACGAAAGAGAAATCGCGACGGGTTGGCTAGCTACGGCTTCTTCTTTTCTCGAGGCATTGTTTCTAATTAACGTCAACGGTGCTAATTGTCCAGCTGTCGCGTCGAGAGACCTTAGAAGAGATTCCTGCATGCGGGTTGAGCAGCTTCAGGCCTACCGTTCACCGGAATTCTTTTACGCTCGATGCAATAAGTGCTTCCACGAAAAAGTCGGGTGTCATCGAAAGTGAATTCTTTACGTTCCTCGTGTTCCCTCTTCTTCACCAATTATCCCGTTTAAAATCTCGTGATACTACTAAGTATACCACCCAATTTGATATCTTTACGCATTATTCACATTATGAGAACTAGATTAAATAAACTAAAATTAAGAAACTATATCATGTTTGCACAAGCGTTGACCAATATTGTTTTTTTTTTTTTTAAATAAATATTTCTGTCTAATACATAGTTAAATAATTTTGTTAAATTGTGTTTCAGAGATGGCAGAGAAGATGGTTCGTGCTGTACGACGACGGGGAGCTAACGTATTCGGTGGACGAGCACGTAAGTACTCACTGCAAACAAATACCGTTTAAAGCAAACCCCCTTATTCGACGCACTCGCTGCGTACGGCCAATCAAATCCTCTTAGGTTATCTCAGATAGGACGCGTTGTCGAAATCCACTTTGCTACTGACAAATCCGTTTAACGTTCTGATACGGTTTCATTCATCGAGAGTGATCGCGCTACTGATGAAACGTTCAACGTGCGCCGTTCAAGGCGAGTACTTTGCACCGCTTTTTTCTCATCCTGCTCAAACGTTATTACCGGAATCGACGTACTTCGCGCTGCTTTATGACCACTCTAATGGCTGGTTCTTTATACCCCGATGTTCGAAGGACATCGAGATACTATATGTCACTCGGAATGGAAACGTGCATTACGGGCTCGAATAAAGAGCAAGATCCTGGAATATTTTTCGCGTTATAAAACTCCTTTAGTTTCGTTTTCTCAATAATTGATTCTTCGTTCACGTTTTCTCGATCTAATCGCGGCGTGAAGAGCAATGCGGCGGTTATCACCGGTCGAGGGACCGTGAATTGTCAGGCCCCGGGAACGTTATGGCAGGCAGTGAATCAAAGCGGCTCTGAAGGAGCCTAGAGAGACGGCCAGGGGTCGGAGTCGATTGTACTTAGCGGGCATCGTCAGCGCCTTCAATACCATCGACTGTCACGTCGTCGTCTAGAGTTCAGAGATTAGAGGCCGGGCCGGCGGAGAAGCTGCGAAGTACTCGCGGCTTGGCCTGTTCTATTCTGACGTCGATGGCTGTGGTTACGTTAGAAAATGTCAGAATTGATTTAAGTCCGGACTGATGGTTGGTTAGAGCCCGTAAAACCGACACTTTCTCGGTTCCATTTGAGTATCTGCAACTGCTGACGGTAACAGAGAGAGAGAGAGTAGTGGTCATTTCTTTGAATTAAAGTCATTTTATGTTTCTCATAGCATTGACAAAAAAAGATGGATTAATTTAGAATATTAGAATAGAATGTTATAATAGAACCTCGATAACTCGAATCTCAAGGGAAGAGAAAATGTCTTCAAATGTTTGGCTTATAGAGTTATGGTTCCACTTATAATATTTAAATTAAAACAAAAGATCGAAGGTTTCAGGTCGGAGTTTCTCGTCCATTAAGTATTCGCTCTTTTTACTATCTCGTTGAGGTCCGGCTATATTAATATCGGCAATAACGACCTACCATAAGAAAATTGTCACTTTCCTCTCACGGATCAAACTCTAACCGGATGCGTTTATTATCTCGGCCGGACACGCGAAAACGAAATTAAAATAATGACATTCGATGAGCGTACCGCGATACGCGCGTCGCTCTAAAGAACTGGCCTGGTCCATTTGTGCTCGCGCCCCGACAACTCGGCCATCTTCGAAGTCAGATTAATGATCCGGTCGCGAGCCTTAAGAGGGCCATTCGTTTCGAGAATAATCTCGGTCGAAAAATGCGAAAAGATAATAAGCCGCGTACGTAGCCACACCGGATGTCTCTCCTTCTTCTCGTCCCCGTCTTGTCCGCCAAAGTCGTTCTGGGCGTCCTTGAGCCGTGGAATGAGAAATTGGGCTAACGGGTCGGCAACGATCCAGCCACCACTGCTCCTCTACACACTTTTTCAATAAAATCTTAAATCCTTGCAATTCTTCAACAATTTTTTTTTTTACCAAATTTTTCATTTCATGTAGTAAGAAGATCAGTGAGGGAATTATATGAACTGAAATTTTTAATAGTTTAATCTTTCTCCGCACGGAGCTCGTTAGAAACATTGACACTATAGGTAGCCAGAAAGGAGGAACGAACTAAAAAGAATAGAAATCGATAGGGATAGGGGAACGGAAGCGTCCCGTCGCGTGCATTTATCAAGGTTCCACGAACAGGCAAGCATAATCGTTCGATAGAGTTGGCGCGGACCCCAATAATCGATAGTTAATTGGAAATGGCATTTCTCAGGGGAGCCTCGGCTCGCTACCGCGGCGTATCTATGCGAAATAGCCACCGGTGGCCAATTATGCAAATCCTCTTACGGGAAAGGGAGAGGAACCCAGCGCGCCGCGCGCGCCGCGATTAATCGTTCGAATTGGAAACGATTAGCCACGTTTCGCTATAGTTTCTTTCAATTATCGCGGAGGATTTCTGCCGACTGACGATCGGTACGAATCGGATCGGGCGGATCTGCCATTAATTACGGGCGAGGAGGCGAGGCGCGTAGGTATACGTGTGATAAAACCGCGGAACCTTCGTTCGCTTTCTTTCGTCGCGGAGAGGATGGCCTCTCGAGGCAGCCGAGCCGATCACTCGCCGCGATTACCGGCTCGCGCTCTGCTTGATTTACGCGCGCCTAATTAAATGAATTAGCCACTTGACACCGGCATAAATTACGAGCGGATCGCGTGGTCTCGCTCAGTTTACGCGTTTACCAAGGGTTTTACTGAGATTTGGAGCGCAGTGCATTTTTCAGATCCCAGATGGAATGTTGAAACAAAATTAAAATGATTTCCTTAAACGAAGATTAACTAACTTGTAAATCAATACAGTGTGAATAATAATATAATAGAATAGAATAATAATAATAATAATAATAATAATAATAATAATAATAATAATAATAATAAATATTACTCCATGGTTTAGTATATCCATATATTATAAAACCTCACATACAGGTCATTGAGAAAGTTCAACATAAATTCTCACAGCTCTTTTCATATCATTAGTACCTTGACCTATCATAACTTTGACTCTACTCTCGCCGTATCTAAATTAAGCACAATTTCTAAATTCAAAATTACCATTCCGGCTAAAACCTTGATTCTTGTTGAAGTAAAATTGGCATGAATGACTATCCGATTAATATAATACATCGTATAATCGTATTCTCTTTGTTTTGTTAACTCGTATAGAAAATAACTGAATAATATGAATCTATGCATCCGTTGAAACGACATACATAACGTTTCTAGCGAAGAAGATTAACTATAATTTTCGCAAGAATTTATCCAGGAACGGGGTTGCCGTTTACGGTTACTCGCGATTAAACTGTACTCTAATTGGACCTCGGGCACCGTTACGATATTAACGCGAATAATCGAGGAGACTCCGTAGGTGGAACAAAGGCGTCCGGTAATGGCCGGTTCGTTTCTCCCGGTTATTATTCCTGACGCTATTACGCGCACGGTTCATTAACATTTATCGACGACGCAACCGTTGCGTCTCGCCTCGGCTGCCCGATGGCTATCGTTTAATTGGGGTCAGCTGATTAACTCGCGTTTAGGCGGAGGACGTATGCTTACGAGGAGGAGACGACGAAGAAGAAGAAGAGGAAGAAGAAGAAGAAGAAGAAGAGGGCTCGTTCGCATTGTTTGTCGACGTCGCTATCGACCTCGTCATCTCGACATCGTCGGCGTTCTGCAACGTTACCTCACCGGCCAGCAACGACACGTTTCCTATTAGTATCGCGACCCCGCCGGCTCCACGCTAACGACACCATGAAAATGATTCGGAGACAGATAGAATTTTTACTCAGCTGATTTCCGTCATTAAGGTCGACCGCGCCCCTTCGTTACACTGTTGCGGCATTACAATTGGAATATCACGAAAGGAATTTCTTCAAAGAGATCAAGTATCTTGAGTACATTGATGCGATTTAGTACATCGGTTTTCTTTATTAAAAATGGAACTTTGCTTGGTCTCGATTTAAAATTCGAAAATAGGCTGAACTGATTACTAGTAAACACGAAACCGTTAATTTGTTGATACCCTCGTCCGAAGGGACAAGCCGTCGAATGCCTGTGTCCACTTCGGGGCAGATAAGGCGACGATCGTATTTCGTACGCGTCTCTTATCGCGCAGGAATGCAGCCATAACGTTGGATTTTTAAGAAACCGTTAGGCACCTTCGACGTCGTATTCTTAGAAAATTTGGAAAATTAAAGATGAGAAAAGAACCGTGGATTACTGATGAGGAACGTATAGGCATGTGCAGTGCACGAGGAGTGATTGCGAATCGGAGCATGTGTGCACGGGTATTAAGATCGACTGGATAACAAAACAAGAGGAGTGAAATGATAAGCAGGATATGCAAACGTAGATCGATCCGATATCTAATGATTAGAACTGTTTGGTGTTAAGGTTGTGCAAGCCCTTCAAGAATAACAATGACACAGCATCGAAATAATAGTTATTAAATGGAAATGAAGAAAAATTACTGATTAGTTTGAGTATGTGTTACAACGCAATGAATAACAAATCATAGTAATAATTCTTTATTCGTGACTTCGATCGGAAGTCTCGTTAACAATCTCGTTTGTACTAGAAATTTTTTATCACTGCGTCGACTGACGAGGATTAAATACACGCGAGGGGGAACGGGTAATCGAGATAACGGTTAGAATATCCTGCAGCCGTTCGATACCTCATTCCGGTGGTCCAGCAGCCCCCTAATCTTCCCATTTCCACGAAGCCTGTTATCGGGCATAGCGGAAACAGTGCCCGGCGGACGCCGAGTCGATTCGAACCGGCATAGATAACAGAAGCTGGTACCGGTGTGGAGTAGAAACGTGGGCGCCTCCATTAGCCAACTGTTGAACCTGTTCGAGCCGCAATCAGACTCACGCGAGACCCGGTGTCCGACGATGGCTCGAAACAGTAGACCGGACCAACAAAGAGATCTATGGTTTACTGGACACCGACCATGGTTCTCCGTCTTTCTCCGTCTGTTGTACTCCCTTCCGTGTTCGTCCTTCCAGCTACGACAGCGTTCACGGTCCTCCTGGTGAACAGTTAACCGGAACACGGAAGCTGGATTGTACGGTTCAGTGGAACGCGATCTGAGTCGATCGGATCGGATCGGATCTGATCGCTGCTTTGTTGATTGAACGAAATCATCATCTCGGGACAGGCGAGTTTATATTTTTATCTAGGAGCGAAATCTTTAAATGAGGATATTTTCTCAATATTCAAGCACATAATTTTTGACTTTAGTCATTTACAAAAACGATAA